CGGAGACCGAACCCGGGTCTCTCTGGACCGCAGGCCAACGCTCTGACCATGGAGCCAAACCGGCCAGGGTGCTAACCTCATTTTCTTTTGAAGTTTAAGAAGGCTATAAATCTCAGGAAAATAAATCAATACCTAAGCTCTAGGACCTTGAGAAACTACATTTTTAAGTGTTCTTCATTCTAGTTTTTTTAAATTCAGATGAGAAACTCCAATGGGGTATTAAGTTAGATTCTGTCCTCTTATTATTTTTATTTATTTATTTTTTATCCTCACTCGAGGACATTTTTGCATTTATCTTCAGATAGTGTGGGAGGGACAGAGAGAGGAAGAGAGAGAGAGAGAGAGAGAGACATCATTGTGAGAGACACATTGAGTGGTCGCCACCCTCATGACCCCACCCGGGCCGGGGACAAACTGCAAGCGAGGTACGTGCCCTTAGTGGGAATCGAACCCGGGTCTCTCTGGTCCACGGGCCGACGCTCTAACCACTTGAGCCAAACCGGCCAAGGCCTCTTAATTATGTTTTGCATATGTTACTTCTGTCGTCCACCAGGTCACCTGCTTTGGAATCGCACAGGTAAGCAAGTCAGATGAAGGGGGGTCTCTCTGTGCTTGCTCAAAACTTTGTGTTTTATAGGACACAATTTTTTCACATGCATTTGAGAAAGAAAATCATAATGGCGTGATTGCAGTGCTGTTAGTTTAAGTTCTAGGCTCTAAAAATGCATTTCCAAATGGGCATTTTACTTTTTTCTTCTGTTGAAAATGATCTCCAACAAAGCAAGCTTCTTTCTTGTCGACCGAATGCAGTGTCTGCTCAGGCGCTGTTGATACTCCGCTTTTTGATGGAAAACGGGGCGGAGGGGCTCTCTTAGCTCTGAAGCAAGAGCATGCCTTCCTCTCGAGGGTTCACTGTCTGTCTTCCTATGGGTGACAGATGCCTGCCAGCGTCCCAGCACAGCACGGGGAAGAAGTCCTACTGCAGTCACCATGACTATGGCCACTACAGGTCAGTTGTCCTTTGACCATGGCAACCTGGCCGCTAAACTGCTCATCTTTCCCTCGAGGTGGGTTTCCCTTCCGATCGGAGAAGACTTCAGGAATATTACATTAACACAAAGCTACATGTTGTTTATGACTCTCTGAGCTTTATTGCAATTTATTTATATCGGAGTGAGGGCTGGCTTCTTAATGTATTTCTTTCGTACTTCATCATATAAGAGGTTTCTTGTCTCTAATACTGATTTCAGTGATGGAAATCCTTTAGACAGACGCAAAACTGTGCTGTAAGACAAAATCATAAAAGGAAAAACTACAATGTATCCTAGCTGTGGGAAAGTTTAATTGTTTAACACAGTGATTTTTTTTTTTAATCCTCACCCAAGGACATTTTTGCATTTATCTTGAGATAGACTGGGAGGGAGAGAGAGAGAGAAACATTGATGTGAGAGAAACACATCAAGTGGCTGCCACCCACATGACCCTAACCAGGGCCGGGGACAAACTGCAACTGAGGTACGTGCCTTCAGTGGGAACAGAACCTGGGCCTCTCTGGTCCATGGGCCAACGCTCCAACCGCTGAGCCCAACCGGCCAGGGCAACACAGTGATTTTCAACCATTGTACCAAAAGAATTTTTCTTTTTTTCTTTATTGATTTTAGAGAGAGAGGAAGGGAGAGGGAGAGAGAGCTAGAAACATCGATGAGAGAGAACATCAATTGGCCGCCTCCTGCACACCCTCCACTGGGGATCGGGCCCACAACCTGGGCATGTGCCCTGACTGGGAATCGAACTGGGGACCTCTTGGTGCCTGGGGCGACGCTCAACCACCGAGCCACACCGGAGGGGCACCAAAAGAATTTTAAAAATATGCAATACCTGTTTAGTCAGGGCACTGGCCTCTTTTCCCTTAGACTGTCAAATTAAAAAATGACAACAGCCAACACAGCAGTAGTGGCCTGGTGTGAATGAATCAAAGTTATCCTTGTACAAATGTGTGGAAAGCTGTGTTTTTCCGTGTGCCGTGCAATGGTAGTAACTGGTAGGGGAGCCGTGGGACGGAGGCGGTGGAGGCCGCTGGTCTAACGCGCGGGCGGCTGGCCTTCCGTTCAGTGTGGGCTCCGCTCGCCCCTGCGGCCGCCCGTCATCCGTCCCAGACTCTGCCGGAGGCGAGCCGGGGAGCTGCGGGTCGTGGCCTTGAGCTGCTTCCTGTGGCCAGAGGGAGCCATGTCGCGATGGCACCTCTGACGCCCGTCATTTCTGAGTGTTAGCTGTGGAGTGGATTAGCATAAGTATTCTGTATGGCGCACAAGCAGGCCGCAGTGCTGACCGGAAGATCAGAATGTTCCAAAAGCATCGTCTCTGGATACAAAGCGCCTTTGAGTGGGGCCGGTGCCGTGGGCGAAGGGGCGCAGTGGTGGGACTTGTTGCCTCCAGGTAATGGTTCTGGAAATATCCACACTTTCTTTTTTTTTTTTTTGTTCAGGTAGAGTGGGAGGGAGAGAGAGGACCAGAGAGAGAGAGAAACACCGATGTGAAAGGACCACATCAAGTGGCTGCCACCCGCACGACTGACCATAGCCGGGGACAAACTGCAACCGGGGTACGCACCCTTAGCGGGAACCGAACCCAGGTCTCTCAGGACCGCAGGCTGACGCTTTAACCGCTGAGCCAAACTGGTCAGGGAGAAATGTCCATACTTTAAAAAAATTTTTTTTTAAATCCTCACTTGAGGATATTTTTTCATTGATTTTTTTTTTTTTCCAGATGGAGTGGGAGGGAGCAACAAAGAGAGAGAGAGAGAAACATCAATGTGATAGAGATACATCGATTGGTTACCTTCCCAGAGCAGGGCCGGGAATCGAACCCGAAACCAAGGTGCAAGCCCTTGACCGGGAATTGAACCTAAGACTCAGGTTCGTGGCCGGTGCTCTTAACTGCTGAGCCAAACTAGCCAGGGCTAGAAATGTCCATTCTTTTACATTTGCTCTGCCGTGGTGTCTGTCAGCTTGAGAGCCTCTGTCTGTCCCTGCAGACCCATCCTGCCCTGCTCTGTGCCCCAGGACAGACTGCCCTGCAGACCCATCCCGCCCTGCGCTGTGTCCCAGGACGGACTGCCCTACAGACCCGTCCTGCCCTGCGCCGTGCCCCAGGACAGACTGCCCTGCAGACCCATCCTGCCCTGCGCTGTGCCCCAGGACAGACTGCCCTGCAGACCCGTCCTGCCCTGCGCCGTGTCCCAGGACGGACTGCCCTGCAGACCCATCCTGCCCTGCGCTGTGCCCCAGGACAGACTGCCCTGCAGACCCATCCTGCCCTGCGCTGTGCCCCAGGACAGACTGCCCTGCAGACCCATCCTGCCCTGCAGACCCATCCTGCCCTGCGCCGTGCCCTAGGACAGTCTGCCCTGCAAGGACTGCTGTCAGTGGCTCCCTAGCCTTGTGGTCAGTCACCAGTTTGGTTTGGCCAGTGGGAGGCCCTGGCAGAGACTGGAGGGAGGAGGGAGGACTCAGGGTTTACTCTGGCAGGTTCCCTACTGGGCCTCAGGTCAGCAATGACTGTGTTTTTCTAGGAAGGCTACCGCTACAACAACTGCCAAATGGCCCTTCCTACAACAGCTTCCCTCTAGGGTTTGGTAATGGCTCCTCCTTATTGCCAGCTCAGTGCTGTTTCACCGTCCTTGCTGGTTTTCCTCAGCACTGCTCACACCTGTGTGAAGAATTTCAGTCCTCCCAGTGGGGTCTGTTACCTGTTTCTGCCCGTGACACTGACGTGCAAGGCTTCTGATGACAGCCTCGGACAGTGGAGGACAGGGGTTGCTTTGCCCGGGACTTGTTTTTAGAAACTGTTTTCGCCATGAAGAGGATTTAAAGCAAGGCCCTGGACACATCAGGTTTTCCTTGCCCCTTGCTTTTCCAAATGGAGTTGGAAATTGTTTACATTCTTGCAAGAATTTGAAGGTGGAAGGATGTAGTTCTGCAGGGCATTTGCTCATCAGTTCAGCCGGTTCTCAAGCAGGCCGCTGACCCACACCGAGCTCTGAGCACGTTAAGTGGCGTCTTAACAGAGGTGCGCCCAGGCTCCGGTGAATACGGTACTGAATGAGCCCTCTTTCCCAGACTCACTCCCCCGGAGGGATCATAGACGCCAGCTAACTCCCTGACCCCATTAATATCCTTCATGCTCAGGCAGGGCTCCTGCTACAAAGTGCTGTAGATGCCCAGCTGGTGTGGCTCAGTGGGTGAGCATTGACCCTGCACCAAGAGGTTGCTGGTTCAATTCTGGTCAGGGCACATGCCCAGGTTGTGGGCCCGATCCCCAGTGGGGGACATGCAGGAGGTGGCCAATCGGTGTTCTCTCTCTTCTATGTTTCTCTCTCTCTCGCTCTCTCTCTCCCTCTCTCTACTTCTCTCTCTAAATTCAATAAAGAAAAAATATAAAAAAAAATAAATGCATTAGGTTATTGAACTGGAATAATGATGGTTGAAAGTATCCTGAAGTATAAAATAAAAAAATGAATTAATTCATTCAATAAATATTTCTGGAGCACCAGTATGTTCCAAGAGCCACTCTAAGTGCTCAGGATGACTTCGTGAATCTAAAATATAGGGATGGTACTTTCTAGTTATTGTTAAAACTGTTCAAGCTCCAATAATATGTGAATATTTGCAATCAACCAGTGAGTTCATTAGTTATAATTCATGTTTTACTCCTTACGAGGAACAACTGAATGCTTTTGTATTGGTCATAAAACTACATTTCTGTCTGATTGGTTTTTTGGTTGTTTTTTTTTTGACATTCAGCTTGTCTGTTTTAAATTTATAGCTACTATAACTCTTTCACATTGAAGATAACACAATATTGTGAACTTCATGGTGTCATCCGGCTCTGAAGCCAGCACACAGACTATTCTCTTTGGTTCGGGATTTGAATTTACATATTGTTTTTGAAGAAAACAAAATCATTTGCATGAACCATATTAATTTAAGAAATGTTTGGTCGTGGTCGCTTCAGCAGCACATATACTAAAAATTGGAACGATGCAGAGATTAGCATGTCCCCTGCGCAAGGATGACACTCAAATTTGTGCAGCATTCCATATTAAAAAAAAAAAAAAAAAGAAATGCAATATTTAGCCCCGCCGGTATGGCTCAGTGGTTGAGTGTCCACCCTGCACCAAGAGGTCGCCGGTTCAATTCCCGGTCAGGGCACATGCCCAGGTTGTGGGCCTGATCCCCAGTGGGGGGCGTGCAGGAGGCGGCCAATGGATGTTCTTGCTCATCGATGTTTCTATCTCTCTCTCCCTCTCCCTTTTCTCTCTCTAAAATCAATAAAGAAAAAAAATATTTGAATGACATCATGAATTCTTTCCAATGTTTTGAAATATTTTAGGCCAGGTAGACTCTGGAGTGACTAGGAGGAAAGGAATGAAAATATGTGGCATTCCTGGCTTTTTAGATAATTCATCATTTTAGTATTTGGCCCAAGGGCAGAATATTTTCAATTCCATGAGCATTATGTCATACAGAACTAGTTTCTAGATCAGTATGTTTCCCTGCATGTGAGTTTGTGTGTGTGTGTGTGTGTGTGTGTGTGTGGCGGGCGGGCACAGAAATGGGAAGAGGTTTGTTTATAAAAACAAATCCCCTTTGAGGCTGTTCACATGGGGTTATTTAGACCAAAAGTGTATTTGGGGTAGACTAGGTATCAGCCCTACTTTCACTTTTTCGGGGCTTCCTGAGACCCATCCTATCCCTCACTGAGTCACGGACCTGTTCCGCCATCTCCTGTCTTTTTCTCCTTGCTCCGCTAATCTGATCTACCTGCAAACACAGCCTTTACTTCCCATTTCTGCTTTCCAAAGGAGGTGTTTGGTGTGCCTACTCGGGGTCCTTGACTGGAGCATGACTGGTCAGTTTATATTGAGTTTGCCTTTCTGTCCTGAGAAATGAAAAAACTCAACTTTCCACTAACTAGATTAGGGTCTCTTAGCCTTTTCTGTGTCATGGTCACTTTGGAACAGCTTTTTTTCCCTTTTTAATGCATAGATACATGAGGTAGCACATTAAGTAACAAGTCAATGGCAAGTCCGATGGCCTCCAGGAGTTTGCAGTCACGGTGAGCATGACCATGTTTTGAGATTTCTACACCCTTGTTCTAAGAAATCTATGCTTGTCCGGCTGGTCTGGTGTGGCTCTGTGGGTTGAGCGTTGTCCCGTGGACGAAGAGATTGCTGGTTTGATTCCCAGTCAGGGTGCATGCCGGGGTTTCAGGCTCCATCCCCAGTGTAGGGCACCCAAGAGGCAGCAGATGGATGTTTCTTTCTCAAATCGATGTTTTCATCTCTCTCTCCCTCTCCCTTCCTCTCTCTCTATAATCAATAAACATATTTAAAAAAAATTTTTCCCTTTATTGATTTTAGAGAGAGAGGAAGGGAGAGGGAGAGAGAGATAGGAACATTGATGAGCGAGAACATCGATTGGCCACCTCCTCCATGCCCCTCACTGGGGATCCGGCCCACAACCCGGGCATGTGCCCTGACTGGGAATCAAACCGGTGACCTCTTGATGCATGGGTCGATGCTCAACCACTGAGCCACACAGGCTGGAAGAAAATCAATAAACATATTAAAAAAAGAAATCTATGCTTTCTATAGGTGCCAGAGCCACAGGTCTGTTAATACTATGTGGGTTGTTTCTTTTTTTTTTTTACTCACTGATAATCAATGTAAATGCCACATTTCAGTTACAGATTAGTAGAAATAAAGATGTATTTTCTTCCCATCTGAGTTCACAGACCCCTAGAGGGTAGGTGAGACCCCCCCCCCTCACTGGACTGCCAGCCCCCTGGTGCAGGGACAGCCTTGTGTGTCTGCACACCAGCACTCAGCCCAGTGCCTGACACGGTGTAACCCTGAGTACATGTCGTCTGAATGAAGCCAAACACAAAGGAAGGAACTGACATTTATCAGTACTTATGATTCCCGCCAGGCCTTTTTGCCTCTTATCTCATGGAATCTTCAATGATTGGCAGAGAAATACTACGCTGTGTGTCCCAGATGAGGAAACGGACTCGGGACAGCTGTGTGGCTGAGCAGACTTTAAACGCAGGTCTGTGCGGCTCCGAAGCCCACGTTCTTCCCATTGCACATCGCTGCCTCTTACGAAGCTTTTCTAGGTCCAGAGAAGCACCCAGGGGAAGTTGTTTCAGATATCGGATGTCCCCAAACTTCCTAAAAACACTCACTAACACTTCAGCTTTGTTCTCACAACTCAGTGAGTCTAGCTGGCAAGGATACTTACAGGTTTATGAAAATTTCTTAATCTAAATGTAGGGTGATTTCATAACTGTGAGCATAAATTCCTACCCACGGAGAGGAGACGGATCCTAGCACCGACCCAGACTTGGATAAGGCAGAGAAGCTGTGCCCTGTGTGATGCCTGCCCTTGGGCGAGAACTTTTGTCCCGGGCAGGTTTGTGGTTGGTGTCAGGATAAGCCTGTGTTCCATGAAGCAGGGTTATGTACCGCACGAGAGCGGATCAGGCAGTGTTATCATACTGCATTTTCTACTGTAAACAGCTTGTTTTGCTAAGGAATCACGTCGATTGTACACAACAAATGAAGATATTTTGCCATTTATACAACTGACATTTTCTGAAATATGGCTGAGAGTTTGTTCTTGGAACGATCGAACTTTCTAGCACATCTTTTGCGGGAAGCACACTGATTTTCTAAAACTTGCTTCATACAAGCGCACCCCCCCCACACACACACACACAAAGCCTAAACAGGCAGGACCTGTCATTTTCTTCAGCAAAGAGCCTTTAACTTTTCTTATTTGGAAAATGTCCACCTCTAGGTCATCTCTGGCCTCTCTGACTCTGGGCCTCTAAGCCTCGTTGGAGAAAGTGGATGCTAGCTCTCCCTCTTCTTGGTTTGCTTCCCCACAACCCTTGTCCCAAAGTCCCTCTGTTCCCTTCCAGCTTCCGTCCCAACCCTCCGCAGGTGAGCTGTGCTCCATGCTCCCCGGAGGAGAAGGGACATGAAGTCCCCTCCATCAGCTGTCTGTCCCATCAGAGTCTGCATTTCCCATGTCTTCCTTCTGAGACAAATCACTGTGCTCGGATTTCAGTCTTTTATTTTTTCTTTCCAGTTTCTCTCCTCTGTTTACAAAATTGCTCGATATGCCGCTCTTTAAAAAACAAACCACCCCTTTTCCTCATTCTTGTTGCGCCCTGTGTCTATTCTCGGATCTCCCGTGTCCCTTCCCTGCCAGGCTCTGGGACAGTAGTCTGTAATCACTGCCCCACACATGCCGTCAGCTTTGTAGAGCTGGCTGCCCTCCCCACTGTCCCACTGAACACTGTGCTCTGGCAGGTCACTCAGCCTCTTGTTTGTCAAATCCAGTGACCTTTTCTCCGTTCTAATTCCCGAGGCTGAGACTCTGACATTGTTTATTACCATGTACTTGAGGCTCGCGCCCCGGGGTTCCCACAATACCTTTTCCATCTCCTGTCTTCTTGACCAATCTTTTTCTCCTCCTTAAGGGGTTTTCCCACCCCTGGGGCTCAGTGGTAACGTCTACGTAGAGAATTCCCTGAGGTTTATCCCCAGCTCCAGACTATCAGATTTCAGACCAGCTTTCCCCACAGGCCACACTGCCTGCCTACCCCAGGACACCCACACTGCTCAGCACTCAACATGCCCTCTTCACCTCCTGACTGTTCCGAGATCCCGTAATCACTGTCGTTTAGAGTTCTCTGACGTTTGGGTCTTCCTTCTGCCCCAGATTCAGACACCAACAAACTTTGACCATTCCCGTCACCCCGTCTCACGTCTGCCCTCTCCTTTCCGTTCCCACGGCTACTTTGGTTTTAGGTCCTTGTCTCTTTCATTGGTCTCTCTGTCTGTTTCTAATTCTACCCTGATTTGTCCCACAGACACTCCAGGTGAAGGTATAGCTCTGGCACTTTCTAGCTCAAAACCTTTGTATAGCTTTCTGCTAGTAATGAAATCAAGTATCCCGATCCACAATTTGGCATTCAAGACCTTCATAATCAGGCAGAAAAGGTAAAATGGAATTGCATCTCCTACAAGTAGTTTGGGAACACCTGAAATAAAAGCCAAAAGAAACGAATCGTCAAGAAAACTATACTGTCCCTACTACAATTTAGAACAAGGTTCTAAGAAGAAAGTAAGCCAACCAACCAACCAGTGGATACTGTTTTCCAAATGAAGTATTTCTCAGAAGTAACTGCAAGGAGAACAATATAACCTGCTTGCCAAACAGCACAAATCGGCTCCTTAACTGGGCCAATGCTGCCTGCTGCATTGTTGACGTTTCACCCCCCCTTGAATAGGGTGCAGTGGAAAGATCTGACTGGGAAATCAAGAGCTTTGTTTCCTAATTCCAGACCTAGCTGGTCTGGCTTTTGGTAAGCCACTTCAAATCTCTGGGCACGAGTTTCCACATCTGCACACGGCTGGGTGGGACTCTGTCAGTAGCTGGCTGCATATTATAGTCCTGGGGAGTGTTTAAACAGCCAGGCTCCGGCTCTCCTCCTCAGATGGTTTCAGTAGGTCTGGGTGGGGTCCAGATATTGGTATTTTGAGAAAGCTCCTCTGGTAATTCTAATGTGTAGCCAGGGCTGAGAACCACTGGATTGGCATCTCGTGTCTTTTCAGCTTTAACAAAGTCATTTTGGGATTTGCTCTTCCTCTCAGTGGCAAGATAATTTCCATTTGAAGGTACTTAGCACATTCCTCCTCATAGGATAATTATGGTTGTTCCTGTCTGGCCCTCTTTCCTAGGCTGTAGGCTTCCCCCACACAGACTTACTCATGTTTGTGAGCTTCTCGGTCCTCCCCACGTGGTACCTACTTTAGGTTTGTTAAATTAGGCAAAGAGTTAATAAGCCTTACCCAAACAGCATCCTCTTCCCTGAGCAAAATCAACTACTACTCAAACTAAACACCTAATTCTGTGGTTCTTGTTAACTTGCAGGTGAGACGCTTTGCAACTGAGGTTCAGGAAAGGGAAGCCGAGGTGCTCAGAAGCTCTTAAAATATTTTCAAAGTGAAATGTTGGTTGAACCATTGTTCTTA